CTCCCAGCTGTCTTGGAATGGATACATCCTAACATCTCCTTGAGTAAAATAACTGAACTGTGGATGAGAAACTAAGTCTAACAAATATAGCCTGATTTCCCTGATCTATTTAAGATACGGATTATAAGTATGGAGTGAATATGGTATCGAGTACAATGCCTCCATTTTTCTTTGTTTAATCTCCGGATACAATAGCTTCTGTTCATTCTGCAGGTTTGAGATTTTGAAATTAAGCTGAGTGCATTAATTAATTAATTAATTATGGGTACAGTGGATTTAAGGGGGACAGGCAGGCAGACTTTCTTGAAAGTCTTAAAGAAATCTGTGTCATGCGTAACTGCTAAACAAGATGAGCTGGAGGGTCTGTGAAAGACTGAATTTTATATATGCATGTATGTATAGATGACAGGAGAGGAAAGGCGGTAAGAATGAAATGGGGTTAATGGACAGCTTTGTAGACTTAAGGATGGTTCAGAAGATGACGGCAGATGCTAGAACTGTATAGAAGGAAAGAGATGAATGAGAGCCGCATGCGGACAGAGCTACGCCAACCCAGGAAGTGGCGCAGAGAGCTGCTTTGGACTGCAGAATTCTACTAGTATCCATAAAGCGGAAAGCCAACCAGGCTTCCCCATTCTGATGGCCAACTGGGCCAAAATCCTTCCCAGTAATTCCCTGGTCCCATAGCCCTGGACCAAATACTGGATTCAGCATATGACAAACCCAAGCACTGGGGGAAAATATGGATTTATTAAAAGGATAAAATGTATGTGGGGAGGGTACTGAAACAGCTAACAGGGATAAAAAGGGAAAGGGGGAGGGGAAAGTGGAATTTCCAGGGTGACTTCTTTTATATTATTTATTTTATATTGTTAGTTTTATATTGTTATTCTTGTGTTATATTTTATGTCGTGAGCCGCCCCGAGGCTTCAGCAAATGGGGCGGCATAGAAATGTTTTAATAAATAAATAAATTTGGAGAGCAGCAACAGCAAAAATTACAGCCAACCAAAGACTGCCAACTCCTGGGCCCTGTTGGCCCACTTGGACATAAAATAGCAAAGCTTAGCCTAGCCTCAGGCGTACACTCGAATACTAGCCAAGTCTCAGGCATGGGCAGCAGAGTGTTTCTTGGCTCAGAGTAATGGCAGCAAGGGTAGAGTCTCTCCTTGAAGAGGAACCCCACACCTCTCCAGAGGCTTTATTCTTCCCCAGCCCACGGTTCATGATGGATTCCAAGTGTAGACCATTTGTTCCCCATTGCAGCTGTCTCCTTTGCCCTTGGGGTGTAATTTACAATATCTCTTCTTTATGCATAACAACCCTGAGGGCCAGCTTCCCACAAGGCTGGCACCTGGATTTCTCTGCATTTTACTCTAGTTAACCTGTTACTGCCCCTCACTGCTGTTAACCGGTTCATGTTACAATCAGGGTCTTTTGCAAGAGAAGGCCTTTGGGCAATTTTTTTGCTTGACAGCTCCATGTTTGACAGCTGTCAAATAAAACCAAGGCAATGCTATTAAGCCTGGCCTTGTCAGTATCTGTGGATGGTGCTGGCTTTGACAGCAGGCACTTACCAGGACATTGATGAGAAAAGGCTTTATGCTGAGGGTAGTTGGAACTGTGCATTTGTTGAACTCCCAACCAAGTTGTGGCACAACTTTTATTAGCAGCTAGCAAATGAGTGACGGCCCCTCCACTGTGCCACCTGAGCGCTCTGGACGGCCTGTCTGTGGCTGTCACGGTCCAAATGGGGGAGAACAAGCCAGGGATGCTCCATCACCACTTCCGTGGACCATGATGGGATAGGTGTGCCATGTGTGGAACAAGCCATGGGCTGTCCAGGTAGCTTGCTACCTTCAGGCAACAAGCCACACTACAGGAACACAATGATTTTAATTTTATATTATTATGTTCGTAACTCAGTGTATTTTTTGTATTTTTGTATTTAATGGTAATTTATTATGTTCTATTGTATTTCAATGTATTTTATTGTGTTGTAAGCCGCCCCGAGGCTTCAGCAAGGGGCGGCATAGAAATGTTATAATAATAATAATAATAATAATAATAATAATAATAATAATAATAAGAAGAAGAAGAAGAAGAAGAAGTTGTCGTATTATGCAAGCCCATTCACTATTGGCAATGGAGACTTCTTGAAGGGCTGGAAGACTGAAGATGAGCATTGATTTCAAAAGGGGGAAGAAGGTGGATCCAGGAAGCCGCAAAATTCACAAACACATTATTCAGCAGGCAGTTTGCAAGCATCTTAAAACGGTGTGCAGAGTAGAAGGAGCCAACATGGGCTTGACGACAGTAAGTCGTGCCAGTCCAGCTTTTGCTCTCCCTCTCTCAGAATAGTTACAAGAGCAGCCAGTCATGAGAACGGCATGGATTTAGTGCACCCCGACTTCAGCAAAACCTCTGACAAGGTTCCTTGTGACATTCCTGTTAACCCGGTGGGCAAATGGAGCTTGGACGCTTCTACCATCTGATGGTCCAACAGCTGGTCAAGCAGCTGCACTGAAGTGCTCATTAGTGGCTGAACCATTGCCTGGAAGTGGGTTCCACCAGAACGTCACAGGACTCTGGTCTGGGTCCAGCACTGCTCAACCTTTTAATGCGACAGCCTGGGGGAGGATGCATGGACAGCCGGCTTGCTAAATGCATGAGGAAGACTAGCCAGTATCCTAAGACACAAAGTCTCTTGAGAGGCTGAGACTAAGTGTGCCTCTACATGAGGGGTTTAACCTACTGCTTTACTGAGGCTTTTTCCCATTTCTCTTGAGGGAGGAAACATGTGCCCTTCAGAGTGGTTTTACCCTGGGGTTTGAATTTCTCTCTTCTATATACTTAAGTACAAGGCGGGGCTGTAATGGCAATACAAAGGGCTTTTGTTCTGGTTTGTCATGTATTAAAATGTAATACCAGACTCTCCTTGCTCTAAAATAAAAGGGAAAAAACTGCAAAGAAGTCTAGAAAATACACAAGAGGCTCTGAAGGGTGATGATGTCATGAAAAATCCTTGCAAACTTCTCTCTGTGAGGGATCCTGAGGGCACAATAAGTGCCTTGTGTACGGAAGCTCAAAGATGATAAAATACAGCCGAGATTTTGCATTAAATTTTTGCACTTAGGTACGAAAGGCCCGAGCATAAGGTGGGGGAAGCCTGCCTTGGCAGCAACACTTGTGAAAAGAATCAAGGAACTTGCATACGGAAGCCAGAGCCAGCAGTCATAAAACAGCCATTGCTGTGCCTAAGGTGTGGAAGCTGGACTGAGTAGGGGCTGGAGCAGATGATCTTCTATTCTAACTATGTTTCTCTGACCACAAGACCCCCACCCCCTTTATTCAGGGCCTACAGCTAGGTGTCTGCCAATGGATGCATACAAGGGCTGTGCCCAGAGGTTTGAAGCTACAGATGGTGGCCAACTGACCAGAAAGACATTTGCTCTGTTCTTAGGACTGCAAGAGCAGATCCGGGTGCATAAATCAGCAGATAAGGCTTCCCACAGTATGAAGAGAAGTGTCACCTGCTACTAATCCCTTTTCCTCAAGTTGCTTTGAAGGCGCTGCTACTTTGGGTAGCTGGGAAGCTGGCAAAGCGAACAAAACTTGCAAGAGAAGGGGAATGGGACAGCTCAGGAGTTAAAGGGACACCAAAGCAAACACGAGAAGAGAGTTTCTTATAAACTGGCAACTGAATTGTTTGCGTGGTTCTTTGAGAAGTGTTTATCCTGCCCCAGGGAATTTCAGGTTCTGTGACCTCCTTCTCTCTGGAGGGTCATTACAAAAGTTCAAACAGCTTGATTCACTCAACCTCAGCTTTCCTTCTTGGCGTCTGAAGCGGGCCTGCCCCTGCCATCTGTGCAGCTGTCTTTTAAGAGAATTACCCCAGGACTGATTTGTTTGTTAAGCAATAAAGGCCAGCCTTTACTCTGGAGAATAGAAATCACCACCTTCATACGGAAGCAGGTGCAAGTATGAGGCTGTTTTAGAGCAAACTCCACCTTCCCGAGGTCAACAGCAACACCTAAACAGCAACCAGGTTTCCTGGTTCAACTTTGCTTTCATTCCCCTCCCCTCCTTTGACTTTAAATAGTGCTGTAAGCAAGTCTGGCAGCAGTAGGCCTAGCTTGGTTTCTCTGTGTACACAGAGGTTTCGGTCAAGTTAGCCAGCTCCTTTTAATTGGACACTCGGAGAAGGGAAAGCAAGAGACGGCACAGGTGCGGCTGCAGCTAGAGTGCTAAAGCAGGCAGGTAAGTGCTGACTCTTTTGATCTCTTTATTCAACTCGGGCCGGCGCCAGGATCCTGGGGACCCTCCAGTAAGCCCCCCTTAAACTTGAAAGAGGTAAGCCAGAGAAACTGGGCACCCTTGGATGGGCTGGCAGAAGGCAGTCGATGGAAATTTTTACTCTCTACCCTCAGGAGCTGGACCTGATCAGAGGAATGAAAGTGTGTTCCCTTAGTGTCCGGAAAGACGAGCAGGAATTAGAAGGCTTGAAGTAGAAGCTCTTTCAGGCTTACATTAGACCTCAAGAATGAAATGGGCTTTAAATATGAGAGAAGAGGAAGAAAATGTTCATTAGGACTTCTCCTGCCTCTTTTAACACCCATGAGTCTCTGTTAGTGTGTGCAGCTTCTCAGGCTGTCTTCCTAGATATTCCTGGGCTTCTTGGAAATTTTGCCAGTTCCTTAACCAAGATGAAGAGGATGGGCTTCCCAAAATACAGCTTCTCTACCTTTGCTTACTTTCCCCTTTGTTCCACAGCTTAGTGCACCCTCAGGGGATGTGACTTATGCAGAACATGCTTGTCTCTGACCCCACAAGAGCAGTATCTTCTTAATAAAACCCCAGAAGGGAGGGATTTTCTCCAGTTCTAGTGGATAGATCAAGGCAGTGGATCTACCCTAGTGGATAGATCAAGGCAGAAAGAGTTCAAGGCCAGATGGTGAGAGCCGCTTTTCCTCGTGTGTCTACATAGCCTGGCCCAGCAGCATGAGGACCCCAACAGTTATGATTGTGGGAATTGTGCTTGGCCCCTGCGGCCTCGTCCTCAACCTGACCAGCACCCTGGCTCCCAGCTGGAGGACCTTAAGCAACATCCCTCACCAGCCATTTGACCTGGTTCAACACCAGGGCATCTGGGACATCTGCAACAAGTTCCAAAGCACCAGCACGGACAAATGCAACATCCAAAACACTCTCGGATACTTTCTCCAGCTGCCTGTCAAGGCAGCCAAAGTGCTCATGCCTTCCTCGTTGGCAGTCACCCTTATCGGGCTCGTGGTGTCCTCGCTGGGGGTGCGCTGCTGGCAGGACATCCCCAATGACCTACTGGCAGGACTTGGTGGCCTGCTGCTCTTTGTTTCCGGCATACTGAGCCTCATTGCGGTCTCCTGGTACAACTACGAACTCTATAATCTTCCTTTCCCCGCCGACAGTACCCTGCAGGTGAGTTACTGCCTCGTACTAGGCTACCTAGGCAGCTGCCTGGAAATTATTGGGGGCATCTCTCTCACATTTAGCTTTGCTCGGTACTGCAATAAAAACAGACGCAGGAAAGCTGCCACAGATCCGCCCAGGCATCACCCGGGCCCGGCAACCGCTGCAGCCTTCGCTCCCTCTATTGACAGCCGAGAACTCTACATGCACGGCCAGAACCCTGTACCCAGGTCCTACAGCAATTCCTTGGACGTTCTGGAGGATGAGTGGAGCATCAACAGGAGCAGGCTGCCCTGCGACTCAGATTTATAGCCTCTGGCTGCTGTTCCCAAGCAGGACCGAAGAAATGAGCAGGAAGAGCTCTGCAAGGACTACGATGTTCCTGTCCATCTACAAATCACCTTCGACTCCCAGCGTCTTTTCCTACCTCTCTGCAAAGCCACGCAATGGTTGCGGCAGCGTGCATCACTAGAATGCGTGACCTGGGTGCTTCATATGTTTCTTCCATGAAGTGTTAGGCTACTTCAGCTACATTTTAAATTACTATCACGTATAGGAGAAAGAGGAAATGTGAGCCATCCTCTAAACCAGGCTTGCAGGGAAGAGGTGCAGGGGCTCAGAGTATATCCAAGTGAACTGTTGTATCTACTTGTAACAGGTACCAAAATACAGAGATTGTAATATAGATTTAAAGGGCAAATTTATTAAATAAATGCAGGCTGGGCTCCACACACTTCTCTGGGCATAAGTCCCATTTATTTCATTTTTATGCCACCCAATGAGAATGCTAAGAATTCCTGCACAGGGTGGCAGTGCCAAATACCAAGAATTGCTTCTGCACTGAAGAGGTTTTCACACTGTGAAGTCATTGCTTATCTGCAACCAGCAGCTGAAACGGAGGTTCCACACAGCTTTTAACATATTGCTAGAACCCCCCTATAAGATGCTACATTGCATTGATATCCTGCCTTTTCTTCTCCTGTGAGGAAGAGCACAGCTCCGTTTTATCCTCACTATAACCACCCTGTGAGACAGGTTGGGCTGAGAGTCAGTGTGGGGGCACATGTGCTGGCCCAGCTCCAATGCCCCCCCCCCCCGATCAGTTTCATCCTGGGCCTATGTCATTGAACGCAGTAGGCATGGATGGGGAGCCTCTCTGTATTACTCTGAAGGTGTGTATGACTCCAGTCATGCAGGGCTTCCGAGTGCACGGAGGACCTCATGGCCCCGTTCCTCTTCATCGTGCAGGGGTGGATCAAAAGCTCATTGAGATGCGGCCACCACATGTGGCTTCTCTCCTCCTGTGTGTGTTGTAAAGGATTTGCTGTTTTGTTTGACACTTCCAAATGGATCTGAAAGATTCAGCAACATTATATCTGCATGGACGAGATTCTTCTGCAGTATTACGCACAAGTCAGGTGTGGTCAGCAGACGTCTCTTCCAGGGTTAGGCTCACTCTTTACAGTTCTGTCCATTTAATTGCTTTCTGTCTAGTGTATCTTGGGTAGAGATGTGAAGATCCACCTGGAATCTGGGTTCCTGTGCTTGGCTCTGACCCAGGAAGTGAGCCAAGCTGAGCTCAAAGCTGCAAATGCTCATGCATACTAGTGGATTGTTCTTCCACTAAGTCTTCAATCCAATGTGCCAAGCACTGTGTGTGTTACCTATGGGCAGTGCTAGGTATGTCTGCACAGGCCCCACCACTGCCTGCAGCAAACAGGTATAAAGCCCATCTAACACACCAAAGCCTGAAGCAGAACTCTGAGCTAATATGCTATAATATGCAAGAATTGGACTTCCTCCTTGCTGGACGCCCAGGCACATGCTCCATGCAGGGTGGACTTAGGGCAGAGAGAAAGCAGGCTGGAATCCAGGGAGCCCAGGTGAGGAGAGCAAATTCCACAGATTCTCTCCTTCCAAGCCAGATTCTTCACACATTGCTAATCTCAGAGATTAGGAATGAATTGCCCTTTAGTCAGTTTATCCTCCTTAGGGTAGGGTGTTTTAATTACTGTTTGCATTTCATGTTCTCTCTTTTGAATAAAGAAGAAGTCAATTAAAGGGCAAATCTTCACTAATGTTCCCCCTGCAGTGAGAAGGCAGCACATGAGCCACAAAAACCATGTTGGCCTAAGGCTGATGATGGAGGTTGTGTCTGAAGGGCATCACTTTGAGGAAGGTTGCACTAAGCTATCAGGGGTACTTCCTGTCTCTAGCAACAGCTCAAAATAGGGAAGAGAAAACATGTTGCCTGCATCATAGTTTCCCCCTTTGCGTTGTGATTTTAGCAATTCAGGCAGTTCTGGGAATATTTTTTTCTGTTTAGTAGAAATGCACCGTACACACAACAAACTCGCCATTTCAAAGTGGTACAGGAACTGCTGGACTCCAGTATTACTGAAGGAGGAGCAGGCCCCATAAGAAGAGTGCCAGTTGTACCCCTTTCTCCATGGATACCATGCTATCATGTGAAGTGTTGATATTGGACCGGTTTATACGAGACTTGCATTGTATAATAGCACACCTACAAGGAAGTGTTGGTGCCCTGCTGTGTTGCAAAGCATTTTAAAGAGAGCCATTGCCCCTTGAGGGAGCTTAGCAGTAAAGTCCCAACAATCATGTGTGGCTGGTCTCCAGCCTCCTTTAGGCTAGCATGCTTTCACCCAGCAAAGGCAACGTAAGTTTTACCTTTGAAGCCCCAAATCAGTGAAAGGGCACAATCCAGACATTATACACTTGGAAGTCCCATTAATTTGATTGCAGGGGAGATTTAAGTGTATTTAACTCTTCCATCAACATGAAGAGCTATAATCGTGTGACAGGCCTAATATGGACCTCAAAGGCCAAATGCTGCAGGGCATAGTTGTAGCACAGGGAGTCAAGGGTGGCATAAGGGGGAAACTAGCCCTTTTGCACGTAGGAACCAGGTGGCTTGGCCTCACTGGCATGCTCTAAGGTCCCGCAGCACCAAATCGGCCCCTTGGCTGCATCTTGACAGGACGTCGCACTAAAATGGGGGTCGAGCATGACTACCCTCAGAGCAGAATGGCACACCCTTGCCACAGGGCCTGGACTCTTCCAATGCAGCATGACTGGTCATGTGATTTTTATGCATGGTGTGGGAAGAGTGGGGTCCCAGAATACTAGCAGCCGATGTAGCCTGAGGATTGTCACGTCTGGCTCACATGTGCCCCACAGGACATACTCACAGACCTGCAATCCTCCTGCAGTTGCTCTCTGTGCTCCAGCGGTTTGAACCTCCCTCCGTTTTGCAATGGCTTGTTTGCTTACGGAGGTGTTCTCCACCCCCGATGGTCATGTGGGTGAGGACAGGCGGTGCATGTCGGTGGGAGGGGCCTCGCAATCCAAGCATTGCACTGGGACGAGACACTGGGAGGTTTGCGGTACAGAATTTATTGTCTTGCTTTACAACTCTGTGCTCGAGCTTGTTGTCAGAGGAGTTGACAGTTCCTGTGGAGCAGCAAAGTCAAGATTTAGACCTCTGAAGCCTTGCATTTCAGGACACGCAGCCAGCATTTAGGATGGTGCTGGGGAGAAACAGCCCTTGTCCCAAGAACACAGAAAGGTGTCCAGGTGCATGCACAAAGCTTAGAGGAGGAATCTGCTATTGGATGTGCTCACCTGTCCTGGATCATACGCTGCATTGATACAAGTTTCATCTTCTACAAAATTGTCTCCCCTTGGTTCACTGTCCTTATGGTAGGTGGTCAGTGTTTTAGATGACCCTGTACTTGATGCTCTGTGAGGAAGGAAAAGGACACAGGCATTGACCACAGTTCCAACACCAGCCTGAAGCCCTCGTCCTAAGCTGTAGCAGCACCGCATAAGCAGCCCTGGCTTTTGCTTTCCTGCAGTGTATGTTAAGGGCAGGCAGCATACTGTTCCTTGCCTTACCATCAGAAAACAAATTAACAAACAAAATGGTGCTCCATCAGAGCTATGGAGCATTAAGAGGGCCAAATCTAGCTTCCCAGCGAGCTTAAAGTAACCCCTTTATCACTGTGGAGTGCTAATTTTGGTGGCAAACTGATGACGTTCATTTTTTCAATTGCTCAGCATGCAGGGTTACCACTGTCACAAGTTTGCAATGCCAATGTTGTACGAAGTGGATTGTCTCTGCAAGCACATTTTTGCTGCTGCTGTTAGGATTAGCATGTTTGTGGCAGGTAAAATGTTCCTTGAGACCTGGATTCTCAATTAGGAGAGCATTTGGGCCTTCAGCAGAGCAGAGACTTAAATACTTGCCCCCAGGGTAACCTACAGCCAACTGACTAACCTACCTCCAAGTTTATTTTTAACCTCCCTTTCACAGCTGCATAAGCAGTCCCTCCACAGCTAACAAAGTATACTAGGACCGTTTGAATATTACTAAGAAGGGAATCCACAGCAGATGTGAAGAATCTCATAGGGAAGTTACATCTGGTTAAGGAACAATCCCACCTACTCCTTTGAACAGGCAAGTCTAGAAAAACAATTTTTTATCTGTTGCAAGTTAGCAACTGAAGAGTCCTTCTTGGCTCCATAAACTTCCAAAGAACAGCTTGAGATCCCTCTCCAGGTGCCCATTTTACAAGCTTTCTCCACCAAAGATGCAGCTAGCTAGCAGGCTGGAGCGTGTGCCAACAGCCTTACCTTTGGCGTGCTCTCTGCTTCCGAAGGTAGAGAAGGATCCCTGCTCCTGCCATCACAATTAGCAAGACAGAGAAGATGCCAAGAATGGTGGAACCCGGAGTAGACTTGGTCTCCTCCTCACAGTAGTCTCCGCCATACCCCAAAATACACTGGCATTTCACTTTATTGTCCTCCACAGTGCAGTCTCCTCTCAGGTTGCACGTCTCACTGCTGCAGCTCTGCGACTCTAGGCCGCTTTTCACAACTCCCTCCATCTGAGAAGCTTTGTCCCATTGCTGTGCTACAGGCAGGGTAGTCCTTGGCCTTCTGCTTGGAGGGCGCGCCCATGTAGTGCTGGCAGCAGTACTTTTGGGTTTCTTCACTTCTGGTCGCACATACGGCACTCTAGTGGGAGGTTTCTGGGTGGGGTTTTTTGTTGGCTCCAGAATTCTTTTCCTACTAGGAAATGGCTTTGTTTGCACCCTTGCTGGCCAAGGTGGAGTTGTGGATTGAGGCTTCTTCTCAACAATGTAGTTGCCTGCCGGTAGAGAACCATGAGCCCATCACTTTTGGAACATGGTGAGGGCAACCTGGTGCCATAAGATGGGCCTGGCCGTTCATTGACAGCGAGGGTGGCTGTGAGCACCACTCACCCTTCAAAAGTTGTACTTAGAAAGGCC